GGTAACGTAAGCAGCTCCGGAGATGCCGGCGGGGGCCGTGGGGAGGGTTCTCTTTCCTTCTTGACGGCTCGCCCACCCTGAAATCGGATCAACCGGAGATAGGGTGCAGCGCCCGGCAAAGCACAGCGCGTCCTGTGGTGTCCAGCGAGCCCCCGACGACCCTTGAAAATCGGGAGCTGTGGGTACCTCTCACGCCCAGCCGTACTCAAAACCGCATCAGGTCTCCTAGGTGAGCAGCCTCTGGTSAAAGGAAGAATGTAGGTAAGGGAAGTTGGCAATATGGATCTGTAACCTTGGGAAAAGGATTGGCTCTGAGGGCTGGGCCTAGGCGTCTGCGCCGCGATGTCGTTGACTGCCGGTGGTCTGCCCGAGCTGCTCTCGCGGCGAGGGCGGAACCCGCGTGCCAGTGTGCCAACAGGCTTAGAGTGTGTTTTGTGTGTAAAAAAAAAAAAAAAAAAAAACTGCGAATGGCTCATTAAATCAGTTATCATTTATTTGGTGCTCTCCTTACCACTCGGATAACCATGGTAAATCTAGAGCTAATACGTGCAGCATATCCGGACTTCTGGAAGGGATGTATTTATTGGAAAAAAGGCCGATCCGGGCTTGCCCGTTGTTGCGGCGAATCATGGTGACTTGTCGAATCGCATGGCCTTTGAGCYGGCGATGTTCCATTCAAATTTCTGCCCTATCAACTTTCGATGGTAGGATAGAGGCCTACCATGGTGGTAACGKGTGACGGAGAATTAGGGTTCGATTCCGGAGAGGGAGCCTGAGAGATGGCTACSACATCCAAGGAAGGCAGCAGGTGCGTAAATTTATAATCCCGACATAGGGAGGTAGTGACAATAAATAACAAGTATGGGCTCTTTTGAGTCCGGTAATTGGAATGAGAACAGTCGTAAACTCCTTGAACGAGGATCCATTGGAGGGCAAGTCTGGTGCCAGCAGCCGCGGTAATTCCAGCTCCAATAGCGTATATTTAAGTTGTTGCAGTTTAAAAGCTCGTAGTTGGATTTTGGATGGGACGGGTTGGTCCGCTCTTGCGGGCGTGTACGGCCGTTTCGCCTTTCTTGCAGGGTAGGCGTTCCTTGCCTTTATTGGCTGGGATCCASAGCCGGCGCTGTTACTTTGAAAAAATTAGAGTGTTCAAAGCAGRCCTGTGCTCTGAACATATTAGCGTGGAATAAGGCGATAGGACTCTGGTCCTATTTCGTTGGTCTTCGGGATTGGASTAATGATTAATAGAGACGGTTGGGGGCATTCGTATTCCATTGTYAGAGGTGAAATTCTTGGATTTATGGATGACGAAATCTGTGAAAGCATTTGCCAAGGACGTTCTCATTAATCAAGAATGAAAGTTAGGGGATCGAAGACGATCAGATACCATCCTAGTCTCAACCATAAACGATGCCGACTAGGGATTAGTGGATCTGTAATGGATGACTATGCGAACACCTTGTGAGAAATCAAAGTTTATGGGTTCCCGGGGAGTATGGTCGCAAGGCTGAAACTTAGCGGAATTGACGGAAGCGCACCACCAGGCGTGGAGCCTGCGGCTTAATTTAATTCAACACGGGGAAACTCCCCAGGTCCAAACATAGCAAGGATTGACAGATTGAGAGCTCTTTCTTGATTCYATGGGTGGTGGTGCATGGCCGTTCTTAGTTGGCGGAGTAATTTGTCTGGTTCATTCCGTTAACGAACGACACCTCAGCCTGCTAAATAGGTACGAAGGGACCTTTCCTCGTGGCCAGCTTCTTAGAGGGACTGTTGGACGACTAGCCAACAGAAGTTAGAGGCAATAACAGGTTTGTGATGCCCTTTCATGTTTTGGGCCGCACGCGCGCAACACTGATGAATCCAACGAGTCGCATGCCTGGGTCGAAAGGCCCAGGCAACCTTCTGAAGATTCATCGTGACGGGGATAGATTGTTGTAATTATCGATCTTGAACGAGGAATGCCTAGTAAGCGCGAGTCATAAGCTCGCGCTGATTACGTCCCTCCCCTTTGCACACACCTCCCGTCGCTCCTACCGATTGAATRGTCCGGTGAAGTGTCTGGATTGCGGTGATCTCGACGGTTTGCCGCTGGGGGTGCTGTGAGAAGTTCATTGAACCTTATAATTTAGAGGAAGGAGAAGTCCTTACAAGGTTTCCGTAGGTGAACCTGCGGAAGGATCATTGACACGTGAATGGCCGATCTTCGGGGTGTGGGAGGCTGGCTTGCTCGCCCTTCCGTTGCCCTTTTCCCCCATCCTCCCTGCATCTGCTTTTCCCTTCCGTTTCAGCACCATCTTGAGCTTAGTGCCCAGCTGGCGGCTGGCCCGACGCAGAGGGGCGCGTGGTGTAGGTGGAGGGTGGGGGGAGTGGGCAGGGTCCGGGACCTTGTGGCGTTGCTCCCCCTTCATCCTGTCTCGCCTCCGCAGGTTGTTACCTTGGCCCAGCCCCACTCTCGACTTCTGGTCGGGATGGCGGTTGGTCCGGGCACGGACAGCCCTGCGGGAGGGTCAGGGGCGGGACGTCGGGTGGTGGCGGCTGTCCTCGGCCTGCGTACCCCC